TATGACTAGTGGTTGTAACTAGATCGTCCGCATTAAGGCATAATATATTTTACGTTTACATCTTATAGATTGTTGATTTTAAGAAATAGCTGGGGAGTGTTGGTTCATACTATCATGGCAAATTTACTTATTATTTTATACGAGATTTCAAAGTATACGTATAAGGCGTGATAAGTAACTTAGTATACTGTATTGAGCACCCTGACTGCATCAGTATCCAAAGCAAATTTAGCAGTGGGCAGTGCAGAATTAGATGTTGTGGGATGCTGGATCGTTAGAAGCAAGCCGCCAGCTTGTTAGGTTAGTGAGTTTATTGTGGACTGTCTACCAGCAAGTGCAGAGCGCGTCGTTAGTGTGAGCTCTCACTACCTGACACTAAACACAGACATTATGCCGCAGTCGCACCTAACTACTTATAACCTACTTTCCGCCTGCCCCCTCCCGTCACCGTCACCCACCTACCTATTTTCTCCGTCACCCCTACCTATCCATTTCTCCCACATCGTCTAACTTTCCACCAGCCGCCAGTCGCGACACGTCCTCGTGGCTAGTAATTACTCCACAAACACTTCTAGTGTCCGAAGCGCTATTATTCTCGACCATTGTGGAATAATATCTCGCTGCTACACGTGCAATTTGCAATGTCGGATCCAGAGATCCTCAAAACCAAGAAGGACGCGGTATGTTACGTGTTTGTGTTTGTTTACTATCCTTCCACCATAAGGTCGAGTCATCTTCGATGATGCTGTGCGGCCTCTTTGGGGAGGCAACATCGGTGTGCAAGACTAGTGCAACCCGGCTTCAATGAAGGATTCTTGGGCTTGCTTATGGCGAGGCATTTTTCGTGTGCGGTATGGGTGGTGTTGGCTGGCCCAGTCTGCCACCCGAACGCGTCCACTCAGTCTCCTGCTATTTTGTCTCAATTGCTCCACTATGTCAATTATTTACCTTTTAATAATCGCATATATTTGATAGAAAGCCAAGACTAACAAACACCAGCTCGTCGCAGCCCTGACACAACTCTCTAACGCGGCGCAGGACGCATCCCGCGCTTGCATTGACTTCTACGCCGCGGCATCTATCCCTGGTGCCCCGCCACTCTTCAGCGTCCCGCCCGCTGCCGCGGCGCTTCTTCCCGCCGCACAGATATCCTCGTCCTCGGATGAATCCACTGCTCTCGCCGGAGCCAAGAAACGTGGCCCCAAGAAGACTATTGTCGTCGAGACTGTCGCGTCAGCCGAGCCAGACGAGGACGTGGCCGAGTTGGAGACGTCAGGCAAGAAGCCAAAACGCAAGCGCATAATTGATCCTGCTGCGCCGCGACGCCCTCAAACTGTTTACTTTGCCTTTGCGAACGAAGCGCGGAAGTTGATTCGCGAGGAGTACCAGGCGAAGGGCATCGAGGCGACCAATACCGAAATCATTAGAGAAGTCGCGGAGCGGTGGAAGAATATGTCTGATGAGCAGAAGGAGCCATGGAAGGCAATTTATGCTGAGCAGATTAAACGGTACGATGAGGAGAAGGCCGCGTATAATGCTGGGAAAGGGATGGAGAAGGAGCAAGAGACGGCGACGAAGGTTGAAGAACCTCCTGAGAAGAAGAAACGTGGTAGACAGAAAAAGTTTTTCATAGCGCCAGAGGAAGCTGAAGAGGAGGCTGCCGCTTCTGCTGCTGAGGAGCCGCCGTCCACGCCTGCCGTCGCGCTGCCTGCGCCTGTACAAAAGCAACCTGAACTCGCGGCTACCCCGGTTGAATCCCCATCCAAGGCTGTGAGAAAGAGAAAGCACAAGCACGAGAGTGCGGCTGCGGCTGCGGCTGCGGCTACCGAGGGAGCAGCCACGACGCCATCGCAGCCGACTGCAGAAGCTGGCGCACCAACGCCAAAGGAGAAACGCAAGCGGAAGAAGAAAAGTGAGGTGGCGCAGCCCGCGAGTGACTCCTAGCTACACTCGGGCAGGCAATCTTGTATCGTCAGTTAAGTCTATTGGACTTTATCGACTTTTGTATGGGCGGGTATGTATTGATATGTGAAATGTGAGCGGTTCTGTACACTATAGTGGGGCTTTGGAGGAGAATTTTATTTAATTTCAACTTTCTTATTGTACTAGTGTTCGTATAAAATTATCTATTCTTGTGATATGTTGTACACTATTGAAATACAAATGCAGGTATTTACTGAAGTTGATCTAATGTACCTGTGACAATGATTAAGCGGGTATTTTGCATAGATTAAAAATATCACAAACCAATATATAGTATGATACAACAAAGAAATGACATACCCATAAAACCCAAATGACTGCATGCTGAGTACACCCCACTCACCATCTAATCACTGATGACCGGCTCTCGTGCTGTTGTGCAAAGTCCAGTTGTCTTCTATTTTCACCAGGAACAGCCAGAATTCTCATAACACGCGCATTATTCAGCTTCCCAGAGGGCGCCCCTGTCCTGAAAACGCTCTGCTCGGCCCACCCAGCCCGGCATCACCTGTTGGCGACAACACAGGGCTGGTGCTGCCGGATGGCACGCCAGCGTCGACAGTAGTGTCGATGACGACTCTGTGCTTTGACGCGCTGTCGTCCGAGATAAACCGCGGGATAGCCTTCGTGAGGTTGTACCTCAACAGAAGGGCTTCGGACTTCAAAATCGCCTGTTGCGGAATCTTGCCGAAGTTGAGGTATCCCAGACCGTCTAGACAATTAGCATACTCTAACGATGAACGTGATCATGTGGCACTTACAGCCATAGCCAGCAAGAAGACCGTAGACATGGCCCAAGAAGCTGGAACCCGGTAGCAGCAGTGCGATGACGACGAGTGTGATGACTGGCGTCGACCAGGTCGGAATTTGGACTGACGGGGTGACGTAGATTGATGATCTCACAGCGTAGTCTATAAGGGAGAAGTACGCCATGAGCGTGAAGACCCATCCACTATATACGTATTAGTAATCTTGAAGAAGTTGATGAGTGCATCAGAGCAGATAACTCATACCTGGCACCGAGGGTAATGAGATTCGAGGAGAATATGAGAGCAGTGATGGTATACGCTAAGCCAGGCACGACACTAAACACTATACATCAACTCATCAATATGTTAAATCCCTTCTACTGCGCCAAAGGCGGACTCACAAAGCAGGCATCCAGCAGTGCCAATTGTGCCGGTCTCCTCCTCAAACGAAGATAGCACCGGCAACAGCGCAGCAATGTTGAAAAACATATGCATGAAGTTCTGGTGAACAAGCGGGTACGTTACTAGCCTATAAATGCCGCCATGCAGAATTGCTGTTGGGTTCAGCGCAAACGAGAGCGGTAGCGACGAGTCGAACAGCAGACTGCTGAGATACAACACGATTATGAGGCCTGTTACGAGTGTCGTAAGATATGGCAGTGCCACGTAGCGGTCTTTGAGGAACTGCAGTTGCAATGACGAGCGCATTTTGGTTTTAGTGATTGAATAATGTGCTGTCTGGTGTCAAAACACAATCAGCTCCATAAAGTTAGCCACCAATACAGACCAAACTAGCTGCATCTGTTGCAAGAAACGATAGTATCCATACCTCGTCGATTTGGCTCAATTCTGGAGTGAGTGTTCACTAGAAATATAGTGACTTATAAGTCTGTGTCGTGAAACGTGATATATCTTGGCCGTTGACAACAGGTTGTATGAGCTTTTCGACGTCGTTGTTTCATCCAAATGAATTCACAACCACCAGCTACTCTAGCAAACCCAAGAGCTCAAGTAATGATTCTTTCCCTCCGTTGATCAAAATCCTTTACCAACGTACCTGTACAACCTGCTGTCGTAGAAGTGTTGTTGACTGGGGTCGCGAATGGAGCAGACTTTCGGGGGCCACGCCGCAGCGATACTCCGCTCCAGCGGCACCACTACTAATATGGTCAATCCAGGTTTTCGGGTAGTTCAGCAAACTTTTTGTCAAAAGCCTAATCATCTAATCATAACAACTATAATCGTATTATATACCGGAGCCGGAGAGAAATTACAAACTGGACAAGCCGAGAATTTATCCGCACTGTTTAAGTTTCTTTTCGATTTAGAAGTCATTTGTGAGTGTTACCTGTTTTGATTGAAAAGTTAATTTATTACTACACTTTGAGCATTACAGTTGTCTGGCTGACAAAAAGCAAGGGACAGAAGAACCCAGACAGACAAACCACAAAGGTAGAAAAATAAATTTGAAAATGAATAAAAGACGAAGACGACTACATCAAGACGAACAGGGTCCATAAGCCTGTACGTCATGCAAGGGGAAGAGAGACATTCACGATGGGAAGGGTGCCAACGGACTAGCTTTGTGTAAGGGCTTGGGTCGTGTAAGTGTTAACTACTAATCTCAACAGCTGGTGGTGTAGAAATCTGTTAAATAAGTCCCAACTTCTCTGGAAATGAAATATTAAGGTCAATGATGCATTTTGTGTGTATCCAGGTGCAAGTGAAGTCGGCAAGCCTATCTGCAGTGCCTGCTTGGCGGCCCTGGTAGCCCATACATAACCTTCCGTCCTTCCTTCATACATAAGGCGTTGTGCCGCCCTGCCTCTGTTCATCGTGTGTTATTTCCGACCAATACAGTGAGACTACGATAGCGAGCCATTTCGGCCACCTCGCTTCCTTCCTTCGTGCTGAGTCGCCTGCTTACCTTTCTCCTCTGCCTTTTTCTCCTCCACCAGCAGCTGCCGCTCCTGCTATGGGCACATTAGAGCAGGCAGTGCGAGACGGATTCGTCCTTGTCGATGACGAGAATCTTTTCGCTGCATTTATATACCATATGTATAAGAAACCTTAATGAGACGTAGAAGATGGAAAGAACAAAGGAAGAAAAGGATTTCTGGCATAGTATGCTGAGGTACGACTAGCTACTGAGATCGTTAACACAAAGGGTCTTGTGTCGGTGGATCCCAGCTATGATACACTGATAGCAATCACGTGATGCTGTTTTTGTAACTACATCAGGATGGGGTGTGCAAATATTTGAGTTTTGTCCCGGTGGCCGAGTGGTTAAGGCGACGCCCTGCTATACTGGCATACTAGCAGTTGAAAGGCGTTGGGTTCTGCCCGCGCAAGTTCGAATCTTGTCCGTGACGAATTTTTTTCTTCCACTTCAGATGAAAGTGGATAATCCTTTTTCTTCATCAGCGATTTGGCATCATTGGAAATCGGAATTTGTGTTGGATAATAATTTATGGAATGTCTGCAAACAAGTGCAGACTGCCTCGTACCATAATACTAAAGAACGCGAACGAACTAATATTTTGACTAAATAGAATTTCTATGCATATAACTAAATATCAGGAATACTTGAATTTGCTTTTGAAACATTTCGTCTTGTAACCTCAAAATATACTACAAAACTATTTGAGGCAACGCCTAAATCTACCGCTGAGTACATCATAGCTTCACATTTTATTGCATCATAATTGGAGTTAGACGCATATACATCAGCTATGTATACCTCGAGCAGGTGTACTATGCACCTTATATATATGTATCCTATATATATATAGCGAGAGAGATGCTCGGTTCAACCACCCCATCATGACGCGAGGACACCAACTGATCCACCACGCGCGCGAAAAAAATCCGTATTATATATATAGTCGATTCTAATATCCTTATAAACCATATCGATATCGTGGTTTTGCGCTCCTTCATCCCGACACCCCATTAATGTTTGATAGATGAGCGGACCATCAGCGCTTGACTGGTGGAGGAGTGGGAGGAGGTGTTGGAAGTGGTGGCCAGCTCATTGCGATATGGATTCTAAAGTTGGGATAGATATGAGCGGTGGATGGTGATCAATAAAGTACTGTCGACGAGGAGGGCAGCAGGCGTCGATAGGCAGCAAGGTTAATAAACAGTAAACAGAAGAGAACAGGAGGCAGGATCATGGACGCAAGAGGAGAATATATATATACGGTCTGGACGACATGCTTGCTTTGTACAACACTGACGAGCGAGTTTGCACGCGTACTTGTAGGGCGACTCCCGACTCGAACTATCACACATCGAATGCAACATTGCTTGAACGCAACACGCAGTCTGCCACGATTCCCCATCCGGCACACATATTTGCTTGTGCTTCGCGCTGGAATCATGCGTAAAACTCGCGGTTTTGACAACACGCAAACGGGAATTGGAATCGTACGAACGACGCCTCGTTCCATCATGTCTGTGCACATGACGCGCCTGGTAGCCTTCCATTTCAGACTGCGCCTGCCTTCAATGCTTCAATAATTCCTTGCACCTCATTCTCGAATTTTCTATGTAATAAATATCATTAATATTCGGACAATTAATCAATTATTGTTATATTGTTACTCGCGTGTAACTGTATGCTGGGCGATTGTAAGTAGACGCGAAATCTCTGTGTCCCTCTCATGTGGCCTTGCACCTCTCGTCTGCTGAGTTAGCAGACAGAAAACCGAGCACGTAGTCATATGGGTAGTAGAGCCTGGAATATTATAGTAGAACCGTCAGTAATATTATAGCGCCGGTAGCCTTTCTGCAGAGGAGCCTTGTGTCGTTCAGTAACCCACAGTAACACCCTCAGGATAAGCTGCTGCATCAATAAAAAAATGACCCATTAGTCTATGATTAATCCATATATACAAGCTTTCCTAATGATGTGTTCTACAACCGGATTGAAACAACAAGACGAAAAACTCTAGTGACTCTCGATAATATACCAAATGCAAAAAAATAAATTATCTATTTACGGAAATACAAAAGTATCAAATACCAATAAGCACGCAGTCCCAATATAACAAATGCAATTAACAATGCATAAACGTAAAGTATGCCATGCATTCATGATTAGACAATAACACACTTATCTTCTTCATCAAAGTCATCGTCGTTCCCTTCGTTCCATTCCTTTTCTTTCAATTTGTGCCGTCTGTGGATGTGATGATGCCGGTGATGATGATGTTCGTTGGCGCTGGCGCCGCTGTCACCCTCTGGCACGCTTACAATGCTCTGCTTGCGGCTCATACCTCGCTCTCTCCATTTTTTATGCAACTTTCGGGGTGAGAGTGAGCTTGGGGATAGTGTCTCCGCTAATCGTGACTGTTGCTCAGTCTTCAGAGAGAGTTTGCTTGGAAGTTCCTCTAACCTATCCTCATCCTGTCCATCATCCACATCGTCGTCTTCTTCACTGGATCCAGTTAGCATCGTAGGTACCGATCTCGTACTCAGCATCGAGGTCGAAGTGGACGCTGGCGACAATTTATCACCCAATCGGCTCAACATGCTCTCGGACGAAATCAGTGGCTCGAGCTGAATATGCTCGTCAATGTGCACCATCCGATAAAACAGTAGGTACGGCATTTCCTCCGCTATTGCGTCGCGGAACGTGGTCGACGAAACTCGAGGACTGGCTAGGTCGTCAAATATCAGCCAATTATCGCCCGCCAGTGTCTCGCTCGTAGCAGAGCTCGCATCGTCATAGCCACCGTCACTCATTGAAGCATTACACTGCTGCTTCATTACCTCCTGTCGACGTCGGAACACCGAATCTCGAACCAGCGAGATGTAATGCCCTGAGGTCACCGACTGCCCACGGTGACACACGGCAGCCTCCAAAACCAGCCTGAAGTTGCCGTACAATGCATCTCTTTCCGCGTTAGGGTCGTCAGCCACAAATTGCGGAAATTCAATCACTTCGGGAATGAGCACTTTCCGGTTGTTGCGCACAGCTTTTCCGACGGCTGACCATGAATATCGCTTTAAGCAAATCGCCAAAACCGGCCGCTTCATGGCAAAATGCTCTGCCGAATTACTTTGCGGTGGGGCGTCGGCATAGAATGGTAGCAACTGTAAGAATGCCCAGGCTGGTAATGATATTTCGTTCTTCGCCGTCCGTAGAGATGATCTCCGTTTTTGCGGCTGCTCCCGCCTGACGGTCACGCTGGTACTCGACTCGCTGGTGGATGATGCCAGTGAGACGGCGCTTTCAGGCGCATTCAGCGAATAATTGCGGAAGGCGGACACAATATCACGCCCTCGCCTAGACTGCTTGACTGTTTCATCATCTCGCTCTGAAATCCTGTTTAGTGTCTCCGGCCGCATATCAATTGTGCCAGATCGCGGCCGACTCTCAATGGTGTCATGAACTTCAATGCTCTCGACATGCGTGACGTACGCCTTTGTGGAGTTCGGAATCGAAACAGACTGCCGACGCTCAATTTCTCTGCGCACGACCACCGAGTTTGCAAAGTATTCCTCAAGACACGTCTCAAGTGATATGGGAACGTCAGCCGGTCCATCCAATATCGGTACGTGCAGTAGCCGCTCATTGACAAACTTGTGGTCGTCATCTGCTTCCTCTTTTCCTCCGTGAGCAATGTCCATCTTGAGTGTCAACAAGGGCATTGCCAGTTTTTCTGTAATAAACACGAATGCTTCCGACGCGTCTTGCTGGTGATCCAAACCTGCTTCCGTCCAACCGTTCTCAGCCATCGCAATCCTCAGCTGAGCCGTGATGTCCGACGTGATGAGCTTTCCTGCTCGCAGCATGTTGACCCACATTCGTATTAAAGTGGATAATCTGCGTAATGGACCATCGTCGTAGACTTTGTATAATATCGGCTCGAATGATTCTAATCTGGCATACATTGCGAAGAGTAACGTATCAAGGTAGCATGTTACATTGTTTAAGTTCTCCGCTCCTAGCATTGGTAGCATAGCCGTCATAATCTTGTCAGTCGTCCGCGTCTTAGTTGGCGACAAGGACGCCTGCGTAAGCGTATTCCCAGTGCTAGCGGTCACCATCGAAGCAGCGCTACTTGACGGCGAAACCGCCGAAGATAAGCTCGACAGCGGCGCGTCTTGCACGTCGAGCAATATACCTTCGTTCGCTTCCTGATAAAACTTGTACAACTCGACCGCCTTGTCGGTCTGCCCGGACGCGTATTTGGAACGCAACACCAGCTTCGCATCGTCGATCGTAGCCTTAAATCCGTCTTTGATTAATTCCTTTACGACTTTAGGAGCTGCAATTTCTAATTCTGCGTGTCGGCTCGCGCCGGGATTCTCTTTGTAGTAATCGAGTCCGACAGATTTCTGAAGCATGTTAGCGCGAATACTGCCTTGCAAAATTAATAATGATAGAAAGATAGCAATTACCGCCTCAGCGCGATGACGGCCACGCTTTAATTTCAGCATTTGTGCTCCGACTGTTGATGTTCCGTTGTGAGCTTAAACCGCCTACGCCAGATCAGTACGGAATATAACTTAAGCAGCTGCGCGCAGGTGGAGCCACAAGCGGTAATTTGTGTCCAGCACTTAGATCTAGATGTTTGTAGAAAGAAAAGGAGTAAGTATACCAATTAGTATTGTGCGTTGTCGAGAATATTGCAAAGGAACTACCGACTGAAGCGACGACAATGTATGGGCACCTGCCAGTTATCAAATTGTACCTGTCAGATACCAATTTGCGCGTAAATCGCAGGTCAGGATCGCGTTTTTGAGATCACGCAAACGGGAGTTGGGAGTTTTGGCTACGGCTTGAGTCCCCCAACTTTACACATCGTACGACCTCTTACGTATGCTCTCACAAAGTACGTGGCTTTCGCTGCGCCCGACTACGTCTACCTGGCAGGGCGTGTAGTTGTATGCTGTCTGATGGATGTTACAGATTGCCAATGGAAAGTTGGGCGGAACATTTATCAGCTTGCAACTACTATCTATGCATTTGGGTACTTTGAAGAATAGAGAAAACGACCGAGACTAGATAGTCGCTAGTAATTGCCTGGCGGAAGAGTACCGGTGATTCACGTTCAAGGACAAGCTAGCGCAAAAAGGGGCCAGAAATCACCCCAGGCTCGAAAATGGAAGTTTAACTGGGTGGCAAGAGCAACTCAACGAGACTCACAGAACCATGTGCCAGATGATTTACAGTTTAAAGTTGTCGAAGATGGCATGTCTTCAGTATCACGGCTCATATCGATCATGTGAGGTCGGCAACGCATGATCCGGCGATGAAATATACCATCCACAGATTCCACCTGCTAATTCCCATACTCATAATACCACATTGGAGTCGTATCTACAGTTACAGCCGCTTTTGATATTGATACCGCTGTAA